AAACGAATGTGGAGAGCGTTTGAGGAGCAGCTAAGAGGCACACAAGCAAAGGATGGGCAGGCCTGGTGCTTCAGCTCAGCCTTCCTGGCTTCAGGAAAATCAAGGCCAAACATGGCTGCCTCGTGGGTCCTTAAAGGAGCCAGAACACGGGCACTGGTTTTCAAGTGCCTCTTCCCTGGAGGAAGTCATCTCCCCATTGGGGGCTTTAGCTTCACCTTAGGAGAGGAGGTGATGAGTGGCACACAAGGACACTGGTGAGAAGGAAAGATGTGACATGGATAAAGTGTCTGAGGTCCTCACAAGCAACCCTACGTGATAAAGAAACTGGTTCTGTGACTGCCAAGAAAGTTGAGACCTCCCTGTTTATCCCTCCTCCTCCCCAAACAAGAGAGTACTTCCGCCACGGTTGTACCAAAGACTGTTTCTTGTTTCCGCAGGCCTTCAGAAGAGGGGGCTCGGCAACAGCTCGCCTGCTGGTCCCGCTGTGTGTCCACCTCCTGCTGCCTGTGACCAGGCTCATGCTACCTTCTCCACACCTCCAGATGGTCACAGCTTTCCCTACTTAACCACATCGTTCATTATGGCACTTAAACACAAGGAATCGAAGCTTCATTTTGTTCCCAAGGCCAGCGAGATAGCCTTGCAGGACCCCTCCTGGGCAGCTCAGCTTAACAAATTCATCTCTGGGGCCCTAGCTCCTAGGCCACCTCCCTAGGAGGCTGAAGGAAAGACGCGGAGGGCCCTGCCAATAAACTAAGCCAGAACAGCCCGTTCCCTTCCCGGAAAATGAACCCAGTGGAGGAAGATGGATTGATCGGAGACCCAGGTTCAGAGTCAGGCTGCTGGCAGGAACCCCCTCAGCCCGTGGACTAACGGCCGGTGTTTTCAGAGGCTGCAGCCTGTGCAGCTAACACCAACGGAGCAGCAAGCCAGCTGGGTGAGGACGCTCCCACCAGGGCCAGCCAATGGCAATGAAAATGCTAGTTTTCTGTTGTTTTAGATAAAACTAATCAGAAAAGGGGAGGCATTGGGAGCTATTTGGGGGCTTAAGGACTCCAGTTGGGAAACTTCAACCTGCCATGCTGCCCTTTTCCTCTCCCGCCAACAAGACTCCCTCCCAGCCCACCAAGAGCTGGTCCTGGGGAGGGTCACAGGGGATGCTGCTTCGGTTCCCGTGTTTTCCTGTGGCAGGGCCTGCGCCCATGGGAGAGCCTTGTTTTGTTCTTGCTGAAAAGGTGCTGGAGCTCTGCCTCGGCTGTAGTTGGGAACCAGCCATTAGAGTGAGGTGGGGAAGCAGTGAGCACGTCCCTCTGAGCCTCTGAGTACGTCTCCCGGGTATACACAGGCCCCTCCTGGGTACAGACAGGCCCAACCCCCGATATAGACAGGCCCCTCCCGGGTACGGACAGAGCCTCTCCCAGGTACGGACAGACCCCCTCCCCCCCGGGTATAGACAGGGCCCCTCCCGGGTACGGACAGCCTCCCCCGCCCCTCCCCCCTCCTCCGGTATAGACAGGCCCCCCCAGGGTATAGACAGGACCCCTCCGGGGTACGGACAGGGCCTCTCCCAGGTATAGACAGGATCCCTCCCAGGTATGGGCAGGGCCCCTCCCGGGTATGGGCAGGGCTCCTCCTGGGTAGGGACAGTCCCCTCCACCCCCCCTCCCTGGTATAGACAGGACCCCTCCCGGGTACGGGCAGGGCCCCTCCCGGGTACGGACAGCCCCCCCCCCCCCCCCCCCGGGTACGGACAGGACCTCTCGGGGGTCAGGGAGCTGCTGCGGAGGCACAGTGGAGGGTGCAGTGTGACAGGAGCAGGTTCTGGGGAGCACACTCGTTTTGGTGGACAGACTGTGACTACTTCCTCTAACATCCCTTTTCCAAGTCTCCTAAGTGGTAACAGTCGCTGCCCCTGCAGGCAGATGAGGCTCAGGGCAGCATTAGTGTATTTGAGAGCTCAGCACATACTTAAAATAGCATCGGCCCTAGCAATTATCTGTCATCTCTGCCGTCTTCCTAGAATAAATGTCTCCAATTCCATGCTAATGGACACATTTCAAGACTGGCATCAGAAGACCCAGATCTCTTCTCTGCTAAAATGATCGGCAGCCAGGTGGGAAGGTGTTGAGGAGTGCTGGGATTTGGGGAGAGAAAGCTTTCCAGACAAGACAATCCCACAGGAAAAGGGGCAGAGGGGCGAGCGGCCGGAGCCCGTCTGTGGGGAGGTGGGTGGGGGGGGAGGCAGGCGGCCTTGGTCAGGAGGGAAGTGGGGCATCACCGGGCTCTGAGCTGCGGAGGGGAGGGTCCAAGGAGAGCAGAGCCAGCCCTGAGCTGGGTGTCTCAGTCGTTGGGTACCAGGTGAGGCTAGCCAGGCTCCCCTTTTCCTCGAAGATCCTAAGAGCCTACGTTACTTTCACTTCCTTGGGGTCTTCATTCCCTGCTCTGCAGAGTGACCCCCCAGGGAACCAGGATAAACATTTCAAAGGCTCATGATGACGTGCATGACGAACTACCCTGTTTCCCCGAAAATAAGACAGTGTCTTATATTAACTTTTTTCTCCCAAAGTTGGGCTAGGTCTTATTTTCAGGGGATGTCTTATTTTCGGGGAAACACGGTATTATTATTCCCTAACAAACAGAGGATCCGAAGACACACAGCAACCTGGGACAAAGCAATCCCCAACTCATATTAAATGAGATGCAGAGTGTTACACTGACACTCGCACAGCCCCTGCCTACAACAGGCACTCAATGAACATGGCCATGGTTTGCACATTATGCGCTCCAGCCATCTACCTCCTGCGTGGCTCACACACCTGTCCCTGCAGCTCCCGCGGGACAGTGCTCCAGCCAGCAGCCCAGGTCAGTTTCGAGGCTGAGGTGTCATCTCTGATTCCTGTCAGCCCTAGAAGATTCTGTTTCTAGGTTACAGGTCCTATAGGAAGCCATGGGAACAGGCGGCCTGGAAGGCAGTGTCTGTCCTGCAGAATCTGTGTCCTGAGGAGGAACGCCCTGTGGTTTAGGGGTAAAGGGGTCCCTGGCATAAGAGGCTGTGGAGCTCGGTGGGGGTTAGAGAGGCACTGGAGCCGAAGGCCTTGCTGGCTGGTAGCTCTGGCAGTGCCCTGGTGTGGCAGCAGCTTCTGCAGGACGCGGAGCCAGGGCAGGGCCCTGTGGGCAAAAAGGCCCAGCAGAGGCTGATGTGCATACGTGATGTATTAGCTAAACATGTGCTGAGAAGGGTGGCACTGTACTAAACATTTTAAATACAAACTAATTCCTGCACAGGTAGGGTCGCTAGGCCTGGCCAGCAATCAAGGCCAATTGGGGCCTTCCAGCTGCTGGCCAGGGCCTTCCTTCTCTCCATGCTGCTCCCTGGTGGTCAGTGTACATCATAGCGAGCAATCAAACTCCTGGTCTCCTGGTTGAACTCCTGAAGGGACACTTCGCATATTAGCGTTTTATATATAGCCCAGAATGCACAAAATTCATGCCAGAGCAGGCTTCCTTCCCCCCGCTGCTGGCACCGGCTTCCCTCTGGCACCGGGGACCCAGGCTTTCCTCATAGCCCCAGCTTCATCCTGAAAGTTGTCCAAAAGGATGTCCAGTCTAATTAGCAAATTATACTTTTATTATTATGGATGCTCTCATTCAGTCCTCCCCTGAAAGGCAGGTGCCATCTTTTCCCTCCTGAACATGTGAGGACAGTAAGGCTGAGAGGGAGTGCAGAGCTTGGCCAGGCCCCACAGTGGGAAGACGACACGGCATTGGTGTGTGAGCATAGCCACTGGTCGCGTGTCCTTCGTGGCCACGTTTCTGGACCAGAGAGAGGTCAAGTGCCACAGCACGCATCTCTGGAAACTTGCTACCAAACATGACCTCACTGCTTTCTCACCCAACACGTGGCAGTTCCTTTGTGTCCACTGTTGCCAGACGCTGGATGAAGGGCTGTGACTATGAAGACAGAAAAGGCAGTCCCTGATGAAGGGAAGTCGTTAGAGGGCCACTCTGACAAACAGCCGTTGGAAAGAGAAGCAGCCAACATTGATGGAATGCGTACTATGTGCTCTGGATTGACAGGCGCCATCTTATTTAATTTTTAAACCAACACAGTGCTGCCTGTTTCTGCACGATGACACTGAGGTGTGGAACGCTCAAACACGCGGCTCAGGTGCACGGGGTACTGCTCGCAGTGGCTGTGCTGAGATCAAACCCGGTCTGATTCCAGGCCTGATTCCAAACCCAGGTCCCCACCTTCCTGGGGCCGCCAGACCCCCCCCTCCAGGGAACGCCTGTGAGAGTGTGTGGCGAGTCAGAGTGAGTCCTGTGTTTGAAGAATTAACTGAGAGCTCTTTCCCGGGAGGATGGTTATCAAGGAGGGGTGGGTAGGCCTTTGAAGGCTGTAACTGCAGCAAATTCTACAGAGCAAGTAGTCTCAAGGTCAAATCCAAGCTGCTGGCCACTTACTTCAAGAGATATCCATGGAGACAAAAACCCAAACCAGCAAAAAGAATGCTGGGCCTGGTTTCATGCGTGCCATTTAGAGTAAAGGGGCTGGCTCACTTAGATACTCGCTGCCATCCTGGCTCAGGACAGGCACCCCTCCCGTTTGTAAGCTCTCGGGGCCAGCGCCGTAGACTCCTTCCCACCTCCTCGTCAGCTCCCAGCATTTTGTTCCTTGGCTCCTGTCTCCACTCAAAACATTTCTTCCATCTGTTCCTTCTTCTGCAGGGCCAACTGCACCCCCAGGGACCGGGCTTCTTCCCGCCTTTAACGGTTGTGTCTCCTTGGGAGAGCTGTGCCTGCCTGGCTTGGGCACCGGCCATGCCCTGTGCCTGCCTCCCAGCACCATCCACGTCCTGTCACATGACCTGTCTTCACAGCGGCTGGGAGCCACTTCAAGCAGACACTTTCTTAGCCAGAATTGCTGGCATAGTATTTGGCACATAGTAGGTGTTAAAACATTTTTTTGTCATTTATCTCTTTATTGTTCCTCCTTTTATAAAAATATGGAACTCTTGACGAATTTGCGTGTCATCCTTGCGCAGGGGCCGTGCTAATCTCTGTATCGTCCCGATTTTAGTGTATGTGCTGCCAAAGCAAGCACAGTGCTAAAACTTTTTAAAGTGAACCTTATGAATATGTTAAAGGTACAGCCAGTGTGGCAGACAGGCCCTAAATGACACCCTAGAAATGCCACCTCCTGGCATTCACTCCTCTGTGTGCCCTCCCCGGAACGCAGGCAACACCAATGTGACTCTGTCCTGCAGGAGAAGGTGGAGGTGACGGGCCGGACCTGTGACTCACTGTTGCAAACATGAGGCTCTGAGCAATGCACTCTCCTGCCTGAAGCCGTGTGCTGTGAGCAGCCCAAGGAGCCACCTGGCAGCAGCCATGTGGCCTCAGGACCTCACTGTCCTGCGAAGAGCTGGCCCTGAGCTCCAGCACCACGTCTGTGGCCTCTCCAGGGAGCATCCAGGGAGCCTCGCTGAGTCTCCAGGGGAGAAGCCAGAGCTGACTACAAGCTGACCGAGGAGAGACCCAGCTAAGCCTGGGTTCCTGGCCTCCCGAAAACAAGAGAATACAAATGTATGTGTTTTTTGTTTGTTTGTTTGTTTGTTTTTTCTGATTTTTTTCAAGAAAAACGATTTTAAATGTGTTGCATGCAATACACATTAATATTTCAAGAAAAACAATTTTAAGTATAATAATGTTACATGTAATACAAATGTATGTGTTTTAAGTCACTAAATTCTAATACTGATTAACTATAGGCCCAGTGCACGAAATTCGTGCACAGAGGAGGGGGTGTCCCTCAACCCAGCCTGCATCATCTCCAATCTGGGAGCCCTCGGGGGCTGTCCAACTGCCAGTTTAGGCCCGCCAGTCGGACATCCTTCTCACAATCTGGATTCTAACCAATCTCCTGCCTGCCAGCATGATCGCCCCCTAACTGCTCCCCTGCACATAACTGCTTTACACATAACTGATTTACACATAACTGCTCCCCTGCCAGCCTAATCACCCCTAACTACCCTCCCCTGCCAGCCTAATCACTCCCACCTGTCCTCCCCTGCTGGCCTGATGGTCCCCAACTGCCCTCCCCAGCTGTCCTGCCCTGCAGACCTGGTCACCTCCAACTGCCCTCCCCTGCCAGCCTGGTGGCGCCCAGTTGCCTTCCCCTTCCAGCCTGATCATCCACAACTACCCTTCTCTACCAGCCATCTTGCGGCAGCCATCTTGTGATGATGTCACACAAGGGTGTTGGGCAGGGCATGGTGCCACCTAGGCTTTTATTATATAGGATGGGGGCATGCACCAGCTTTTCAGAAAAGGGGAAACGGACGGGACGATAACATTGTGCGGCCCGATGAGCTGGTGAATAACCTCAGAGTTAAGGAGTGAGACAGGCCTTCTCTGGGAGATGCAAGGACCAGTCCAGAACCAATGGAAACAGCTGATCCCAGGCCTTCAGTGTGAACTCCTCCTCAGCTCATTCCTGCCACCGGGTGAACATGGTTTAGGGGATTCATGGTGAGAGTGACCAGGACACAGACCTAGAGTCAGACAGAATGAAGCTGCAGGCTTCATGAAACGACCCCTCTCTGGCTCCGCCCCTGCCTGAGAGGAGGCTGATGCACTGCCCTGCCTGGCATGAGAAATGGCATAAGGAAGTACCAGCTGTGAGCTGGCCAGGCCTGTCTCCCCGCCCCTCTTCCCTGCGTGAAACCCTCCGTAGCCCGCTCTTGACTGAGTCCTCAGAGGCGTGTGCTGCAGCTGAGAGCCCCGACGTTCCACAGGCTGTGCTGCTGAGCCGTCAGGCGGCTTCCTGAGGTGACTTACTGCTTCCTCTTTCACGGGCGCTTTCTGCTTAATAAGTGGAGCTGCACCAAGCACCCTGGGACGCGGGAGGCCCCCGACCTCAGGCTGCCTTTGCCGCAGCAGACTCCCGCAGGCTGGCCCCTTCCTGGGCTCGGCTCCGGGCTCCGGGACCCTGAGGGTGCTCCCTCAGAGGGGCTTTTTTCTTCTTTTTAAAAAGTAAGGTCTGTCTTCCCCTGGCCTTCTGAGAGCGTGCAGCCCTTCAATCTCAGGGGCCCTTGCCCTCAGACTCAGAAAACGGCAGGAAGGCGGTGACTGGGGTCATGTGACGGACAGAACACACACCTGATTGTGTGCTGCCCCACCGCCTGGAGTATCCAGGCTATAAGACGCCTGCCGATGCCCTCCCTGCCAGCCTGTGCCTGAGCCGAGCCTGCGACGCGGGGGTCTGCTGACAGCACATGGTTCAGATGCGACAGAGGACACCCACAGATTTCACAACAGAGGTCGGCCTCTCACTTCAGCTCCCGTGCTGCGCAGGAGCAGCCGCGGCCAGCGCGGTGGAGCTGAGGGTGAGCTCTTCCCACAACAGTTGGGTCCCGAGGCCACAGGCTGCTGCTGTGGCCACCCGCCTCCCCCTTGTTCCAGGCGCGTTCCCAAGGGTGTCTGTGCACCCCTCCTAGCACCCCTTCCTGACTCCAGGAAGGCCAATGTGCTGGGAGCCTTAAGACCCCTCCCCATCCCGGGAGCAGCCCGGAGAGGCAGCGCTAAGCTCCCCTCTGCCAGAGCTGATCTCCTGCACCAGGCCTCCTCGCCCCGGGTGACCCGGGCCCTACCTCACACACACACACACACACACACACACACACACACACCCGCGTCCCAGACCTACCTCCTGCCTCTCCCCTGGGCATTCCTGGCCTATCCTGTGCCTCCCCTCTGAGGCATGGCAGCCTCTGGGGACCAGCTGTAACCACTGAGGATGAAGGAAGGGGAGTCTGCTAACAGGGGCTCGCCTAAGACCGAGGTACTGGACTGGGAAACAGATGGGACGCAGCGGGGAGTGCAGGGAGGAGAGTGCACAGAGGGCCTGGCTCAGCTCTGGGTAACTGCTGAGTGGCTTTCCAGGCCAAAAGCGGGGGCGTTTCACACAGCCCTTCTCACTGCCACATGCAGGCGCCCGGCCACAGCGGTCTGAGCCCTCTGGGCCAACGCCCGGCAGCGCTTATGCCTGAAACCCAGCTCGATTCCTTCTGTCCAAGTTGACTGACCTCCTCCTCAGCCAGCTCACACTGCCAAGGGGAGGGGTGCCTGTGACCGGCACCCTCTCCAGGGGGCAGGGGGCTCTGAGGGTCTGGATACAAACAATGTCTGTAATAAGCTCCGAACCCCAGGAAGAGGGTCATCTGATAGCCAGCGAGTGAGAAAGCCAACGCAGGTGACACTCAGGTTCCCTGTGAGATGGGTCATCTTTCGCTGTGAGATTTGCAAGAGCTCTCTGGCCTGGTTTCTTTTGTTCTAAATGTAAATCCAGTCCTAGGATTGTAGGACCTTGAGCCAAGTTGACAACGGCCCAGCTCAGAGGCTCCTCAGTGAACCATTTCCTCTGGCCCTGCTTCCCCTCAGCAGAGAGGGCTGCCCTTGGGACAGGAGGGGCGGCCGCCCTGGAGCTGGGTCAGAGCTGAGGGCAGTCCTGCTCTGTGGCGCCTCTCATGGCCATGGGGAGCTTTTCTGGGCCTCCAGACCCGCTGGACAAAGCCCTTTGGTGCCAGACCATCACTCCAAGTGATGCCTCGCACGACCGAAACCTTAAAAAGGAAAAAAAACAAAAAAACAATAACTATAAAATGTTCAGGCCTTTTCCAGAGGACAAGTCATAATCCCTCTGGGTTATCTGAGCTGCTCCGTGAAAAGCTGGTGAGCAGACAGAGACAGAGGCTGCGGGCTCCTGGGCCCGAGCACTGAGCTGACGGCACATACGGTATGGCACATACGTGCTGCCTCCAATTTGCTCCACGGAAACCCATGCGAACACGGCACCATTGGAGGGTGAAGGCGAGGAGACATGAGCTCTGACTTCTCCATTTTACAGACCAGCAGCGAGCTCAGACAAGGAAAGGACTTGGTTATGGCCATGATGAGCTGGTGTGCGGCTGGCTTCGAGTCCCTGGGATGTGTCTACTCCCCCCTCCGCCCAGGCCTCCTCCCCACCGGTGTCTACATGCGTCCGGAACAGGGACGCACTGGCGGTGAAGCCAGGTTCCATCCCCATCACGTGAGACCTGGGCAAGTCCCTGAACTTCCTGGCATCGGGGGAAATAAAAGGGCCTATGGGGACCTCCGACGCCCCTGCCTGTGAGTTCCCTGTGGATTCTCCTGGCTTCCACAGGCCAGGCAGGAAGTGGGCTGTTTGTTTAACCTTAGGAGGCAACGAGGGATTCAAAAGAAGAGGTACCAGGTGCAGTACTGGTTTAGGGCTCCAGGCAGCCTGGAGCCCTCTGGGCCAAGCACGCCCTCTGGGGGTGCCCTGCAAGGGAGGGCGGGAGGTCATGCAGAATCCTCAGTGGGTCTGATGCCAGAGGCCAGAGCAGAAGTCACACCCACCATGCCCGCTGCAATGCAAAGCCTGCCGCCGACAGGCCCCGGGCCGAGCCCCCGTGCCCAGCCCTTCCTCTCATGGCTCCGGCCTCGCACGGCTTCCCTCCAGCCTGGAGGGCCACTGGCAGGGGCTCTGTGACAGTCCCGCTCCGCCTGACCCGTCCTGCTCTCCCTGCTCTGCAGCACAGCGGGGTCCTGCAACCGCCGCTCTGGGTTCAGCAGTTTAGACCCAAAGAGGAGAATTCTTCGGGAAAAGGAGGTGCCATTTGAGCTGATGAGGAAGACGATGCCCTCGGTCTGCACAGCTCAGCCTGGCTGGCCTGCAGAGGCTGAGGGGCACCTCTCACCGTCCTCTCACCCACCGGGGGTGCCGAGCACCGGAGAAGGGCCGGGGCCTGTGCGAGGCTCGGGGAAATCCAGCGACAGACAAAACACAGTCACTGGCCGCAGGGAGCTGCGCTGAGACAAGCACAAATCTGGGGCAATAATCACACCGTCTGGGCATGCCCGCTCCTGGTCCTTTTGGGTCCAGGTGGGTCGCCAGCAGAAGCCTGAACTCGGCCACACGGTGGGCGGCATCGGAGCCGCGGCCGGAGGCATGAGAAGCCGAGTGTTGTTACCCAGACAAGCAAGGAGAAGGGGCAGGAGGTGCGAGGGGAAAGGTGGGAGGACCGAGAGCAAGCACCACAG